CTTTTGTTTTTTATCTGCCATCTCTATCTTTCTGTCGCTCGGCTCGACTAATGTCCGTCCCGTGCACTGAACGCACTCTCCTCCACATCATGAGTAGACACGCCCCTTACTGCTGATTGGCTACAAGTTTGTTTTGCTAGTTGGCCCGAATCAGTTTTCTAAAGCGTTTTTGAAAAATCGCTTACCCCACCTTTAATGGCATTCAAATCTGTCAGCAACTCTGATTATGCAAATAAGCTGTAGTGGGGGGGGGTCTTTCCTGTTCAAACTTACAACTTTATATTGGACAAGGCAGTTTTGAGAGGTGTGAACTCTGTAGAAGTTAAAGGCCACTATCTGGTTAGTCTCAACAGCATGGGACACTTCGTTTTGCCTAGGAGCCAGTGGATGAACTTTCCACTCAGAGTGATTAGGGCCTTTCGCACCGCGGGAACCTTTTCATAGTACCAGAACTAATTGTGGAGCTACCCACTTTTTGGCGTTTTCGCACCGCCGGAACTGGGTGCGATTTTAGTACCGGACTGGTTGGAGATTCTTAGTCCTCCTTTCCGTTCTTTCAATCGCTTTACGTATACATCGACTTTCCATGTCCATTATTGTGAAACCCGCGAGACACAACAAAAAAAACGCTCCGATCACAGCGTCCTCCATCGTCGCTGTCGACCGGCTTACGTCACTTCCTAGTACACACTCTCGGTGCGAATGCAACCCTTTAAATGGTACTGGGAAATAGTTTGCGCAAAATCGTCCCAGTACTGTACATTTAGTTCTGGAACTAAAGCGGTGCGAAAGGCCCTATAGTCAGACAACAATTCTGTCATCAGTCTTGTCAGAGCAACATCACTGAAGTTCATCTTTTTTTGTTTCATTCTGGAACACAACCTCATCACCACCTCTCTTATTTGAGCATCTCTAACTACAGAAGACACTATCAGGACTTTCAGCTAAACTGCATCTGGATGCACACTTAATGATGAAGCCAATACATGCACAAGACAATCAATTGTGACCCCATTTAATAAGGTGCTTTAACTGGAAAACAGACTCCTACTTGATACATTTTAGTTCTGTCATTTTTCTGTTTCATTTATCCCCTTTCATTTCCGGTTTACCTGTGTGTGTACATGTGAGTGTACATGTTAGTACTGTAAGAAAGATATTTTCTGTGGCCAGGAAAGTAATATCTCCTGGAGCTGATAGACGGATGAACAGATTGTAATATTAATTCTGCAGCAGTTACTTCTGGCAGCTGATATAAGTAATTATAATTGATTATAAACGAACTATAATTGATTTTAAATATATTTCCCTTTTGTGTTAATTGCTACAAAGCTGTCTACTGCTTTACGGTGTATTAAAGTATGTTTAAAGATATAAAGTCTATGTGAGTCCAATACATAAATAACAGTGAAAAAGAGAGTAACGATTAAGTAGCTTGAATTGATTTTTAGTAATACCATGTGTGGAGTCGTGTTACTCAATGCTGGTGAATTCCCTGTAGTGAAAAAAAGTATAGACCAGGGGTGTCCAAACCTGTTTCTAGAGGGCCACTGTCCTAGAGAATTTAGCTCCAACCCTAATTAAACTCTCCTGAAGCAAAGTAATCAAGGTCTTCAGACTCACTAGAAACTTCCAGGCAAGCGAGCTGGAACTGGTTGGAGCTAAAATCTGCAGGACGTTGGCCCTCCAGGAGCAGGAGTGGACACCCCGTGTGAAGAAGGTCACAAAGGCTGCGTCCGGAATCACATACTCATTTGAGTAGGTAGTTTTATTTGAAGTATTTTTTTAAGTAATTTTTGACGACTCCAAAAAAAGAGTATGTTCTATATAGTATGAATGTGTGTAGTATGAATGTAATCTGGACGTACTACATTCGCCATGTTGTCTGTAAATGTGGTAGAGTTAGTACAAGACCCACAATGTGCAGGCTCTGGATAAAGAGACAAGGATAAATGCTCAGCCATGGGGAAGCAGTATAGGAAATGTAGCGAACCCAACCACTTTGCAAAGGCTTGCGAATTACAACAACCATAGAAACAGAGAAACATGCATACTGTCAATAACGAGACCGACTCCGACCTTGGAAAGCCCCAGGAGCTCTTCACTGATGCAATACCAAAAGATCACAGCAACGTGATAAATAAACAAGCTTTTGTGGAAATTGAGACGGGCTTAACAGTCTCCAAAATAAGATTTAGACTAGACACGGGGCAGAAGTCATTATCATTCCAGAAAACAAGATTCAAGATGTCATCAGTCTCAGTCAGTTATAACAAATAACACAATTGTTGTCAGGATACGTTAAATGAACTCTTTAACCGTATCACGCAACGAGATCAAAGCCATGCTAGAATTCTACATCGCAGACAATCAAGAGCAACCTACTACTTTCTTTCCCTCTATGCTTACTTTTAAATTTGCTATAGTTACACCTAAAAAAATCACAAGCCATGTGTTCAACAAAATGCACAAGACTAGACAGCACAATAAACATATGACAATAGCACACGGCCAATGAAACGAGGTAAAAAAAATAAAAATAACACAAGAGCATATGAAACTGTGATAAAGAACCCCCACCATGCGCTCATGACAAAAGACAAAACCGCGAGTAACCAAGCCTCAAACACACAACACACGCCATGGACTTTAAATTGTAATTATACATGCCTCCATGCCTGCTTTTTTGTTTAAACCCGTGTTACCTGTTATAAACAACAAATGTTAATCACTCACATTGTTGCTTTATGGAAAATAAATGTTTTTGTAAGATACCATGCATGAATAACTGAGAAATGAAAAGAATGTTATATGCCCTTTGTGTTCAGACACCAATGAGACCAGCAGCTCTACATTAATCTTGCCTCGATGCATCTTCTTCGTCTACTTACTTTCTCTTCGTCGTTAGATATCAATGTGTGCTCGGCAAGACCGTTTTGTGCTTGAGCGCCACCAAGTTGTGTTTTACTGTAACTTCAGCAGCTCCAGGCACCTGAACAAAAGCGCAAATCTCATTGGTCGGCCAGTTTTTAACGCGGCGCGTCAAACCAAAAAGGCGTTTTATAAAAAAAATTACGCTTTGCATGTCGGTGTGCACACTCACATTGCCGCCCTTTTTTTAGTCACGAGGTGTTATACGTCGGCGATTATCGCCCGGTGTGCACAAGCCTTAAGACCTGACTGGCTTCATACATCCAATAAATAGTACCTTGAAAGTTGCTTAAAGGGCCCCATTATTCTTTTTTGAATATTACATTTCATGCAGTGTGTAATATAGCTGTTTGATCTTTAAAACTTTGCAGAACTTTTACATTCACAAAGTGCACGACAAATAAAGTCATTGTCTCCTGAAAGAAAGAGTTTATTCTAAACTGCTGAGACAAGTCATCAGCAATTCCAGTTCCACTTATGAAACTTATCTGCAAAGATCCGTAACACATTTGCTTAATGGTCTTCATTGGCTTCCCGCAAACAATGTCTACATTGATCTGCCTTCAAAAACTTTAATTTATGGTTTGTGTTGTGATGCTATTTTCTGCAGTGCGAAAGCAGATTTGCATTGTTTACGATTCCACAGGATAAGGATGTGAAGTGTCAGTGGTTAAAATAAATTTTTACGATACCACAGCAATAGACCAATCACAACAGACTGAGCTATCTGACCAATCAGAGCAGAGTAGGCTTACTGAAAGGAGGTCTTTAGAGAGCCTAAATCTTTGAATTAATCATTTCAAACTATTTGAGAAACTAGGTGATGTGAAATGTGTATTATGAGAAAATTAAAGCGTTTTTTTATCTTTGATGCGTGTAAACCTATTGTAGGAGACCTCCAAAACAAAATTAGGAACATTTTAAAAAAGCGTAATATGGGCGCTTTAAATCAAAAATGGTTAAATATGAAACTGAAAATTAAAAAAAACAAAAACAAAACATTCTTTTACAAATAATACAATTCATTGACATCCTCACTTGAAAGGGACTTAGGTGACCAGAAAAATTTTTGGGCCACTGTATGTATCAGACCAAATTTTAGGGTGTGTTCACACTTGTAGTTCGGTTCGTTTGGTTAATTTGGTCCGGACCAAAAAGGAAAATTATACATTTGGTCCTGGTCCGCTTAGCATTCACACTGGCATTTTTGACAGCGAACCTAAAGATGCCGAACCTAAAGGCATAGAGATACATTCACAGCCTGATTGGTCGGGTTGAATGGTGTATATTTTGTGACGGTACTCACCGAACAGATTAAATCGATCGCTTTAAGTCAAATACACTTAATGCCATCTGCTTGATGCACACTCATTGTTGCATGTATATCTTTTTTATTTTCTATGATTTTATGATTTTCACCACCTGCAAACTCACAAAGAGCTCATAAAAGGCGCCCTCGTTGCTCCATGTATGCCCTCTGCTCATTTTGTTTTGGATACACCGCTTGTTCCCTTCGTGAAATCATGTCGCATAGCGTCGCATCTTGTCATTACTTCCTGTTTTTAGTTTGTTTAGAAGTATTTGGTCCATGTTGCGTTCGTATTTCATTCAAACAGCACCAGAGTTCGTTTGGAACAAGTGGACCGAGACCGCTAAAAAGATGGATCTCGGTCCGCTTGTTTGGTGCGCACCAGGGTTCGGATAGCAGCACTCACACTTACTCAAACGAACCGCACTAACAGAGCAATCTCACCAGAGTTCGTATTAATCGAACCAGACATGACAAGTGTGAACACACCTTTAAAAACAAATTGTACAAAGACTAAGATTGACTCAATCTCGTTTTCTCTCTCTTTCTCAGATGTCATTATTTCATGTCGTGTTCCTGCTGCTCACTGGGCCGGGTGTGAGTTTGTCTCAAGCTGAGCAGCCAACAGTCCCATTTGGCTGCAGATTTGGAATTCCAAGACCATACACTCTCTTATGTGACCTGGATGCTATGTGGGGGGTGGTGGTGGAGGTCGTAGCAGCGGCTGGTGTATTAGTTGCCATTTTACTGCTGATAGTGTTACTTTGTCGCCTGCACTCAGTGACTGAGGCACCAAAGCGAAGTGGCATCGGTCCGATTCTCTTACTGTTAATGGGCATTCTTGGGCTGTTTGGGCTTAGTTTTGCATACCTTATTGAGCATAACGAGAGCATTTGTTTGGTGCGACGTGCCCTCTGGGGTTTGTTTTTCTCACTCTGCTTTGCCTGCATGTTAGCACAGGGCTTGAGGCTGCGCAGGCTTGCACGTGAGTCTCGTAGCCCAGGCGGGTGTGCCCTCGTTGGACTAGTGCTAGGGTTAACAGCAGTACAAGGTATTATTGCTGCAGAGTGGCTTCTTCTAACAGTGCTGCGGGAGGGTAACCCGGCTTGCGAGTATCAGCAACTGGACTTTGCACTCGCTTGTGCCTATGTGGTTGCACTCCTGCTGTCTGCCCTAGTAACTGCAACATTAGCACTGTGTGGGAAGGCACGACAATGGCACTGTAATGTTGTGTGGCTTCTAATCTCCTGCTTGCTGTCCATTCTCCTGTGGGTGGCTTGGGTTGGTTTCTACGTCTATGGAAACAAAGTACTTGGAAAGTCTCCGGACTGGGATGATCCAGCATTGGCTGTGGCCCTGGTAGCACAGGGTTGGTTGTTATTGCTGTGCCATGCTGCTCCTGAAGCCCATGCCTGTCTTCGAACACCAACTCAGCCTTCAGCTCCAGACTATTTTGACACATCTCAGAATTCATCACGCATGAGAGAGGCCAGCCTTGATGAGGACATCCCACTTTCACACAGGCAGTTTGTGGAGAACCAGGGATACGCGTTTGATGAAAATGCTGCAGGTACAACAAGGCACAAAGATTAATATATAATTTAATATACATTAAACAGATCCTAACATCCACCCTCTATTGTTGTAGGGTTGAGAAGTGGTAGCCATCATAACGGCAACACAGGAGCCAGACCCAGTGCACCCTTTAGAAGTAACGTCTACCAACCAACTGAGATGACCATGATACTAAATGGAGGAGCAGTGAGTACAAAACTTTATATTATTATAAATAGACCAAATAAACAAACCTGTAGAAACCTTATTCCTAGCTTATTACAGCTGACAAGTTTGAGTAAAGTGATTGACTAACTAAAGCTTGAAACAAGCCTTGTCAAAACAGCATATTAAACATTTCTGTTTTTATGTCTATTGGGACTACAGATCAGGACTGAATAAATGTCATAAATTAAAAGTTGATCTGTATATTGGTTTTATCATAAAAGATCAAAGCTGATAGTTTGTGATGAGTCAGGTTTAAGTAACAGTATAACTCTCTGGAGGGAAAAAACTATCATGGACTCCACATAGTTTGTTTTGATATGTGACTATACTTTGCACATAAATAATTTGGTTATAACTGCAGATTTGAAGAGCTACATGTTCATCATCAGTGCCTCAAATGAATGTGCCTGTGCCAACACTAGTCAGATCTTCCAGTTTCTTCTTCAGAAGGATGGTTTATATGTCCATGCTTTTTGAGAAGCCTTTGGCTTATCATTCGATTATTTGGATACTGTGTTTCAATGACTCGCATTAAGTAGAGTTTGTCTTTGCTCAAGCTGGAACACATGGCTTTTTGTCAGTGTGTCATTCTGTGTCCTCAACACAGAAGTCCTTGGACATGCACAGTAAGTCTGTAATGGAGAGTGAGCAGACAGTTTCTCATGTTGAACCTGTTCTGCTTCATCAGGTGCTGCTGTGTTTCAGATGCCAACAGTTAAACTTAGCATTTTTTATGGCTCAAATGACTATAATGTTGTGGTTATACCCAGGTCTGCCTCCATGATGAGCATTCTGCTTTGGGTGCAGAGCAAGTGTGTATTGCAGTAGTCGGTGCACATCTCAGGTTGTTTGAATCTGAAAACAGGAATACAACAGGAAAACACAGTGCAGCTTCTCTTAGTAGCACCGTTTTGACTGTCCCACATTTGATTTTCGAACTTGGTATCACTCCTGGAGGAGCCTCCTTGGGAGAAATCTGTTTTCCAAGGCTTAGATAGGCTGACGTTAGGTGTCTCACTTAGGAGCCCCAATCACCTCTGAGCACTACAAGAAATGGCCGATGACTATTGGCGAGTAAAATTTGCATGCCAAGCCACTCCCTGTACATACGGGTATACAAAATGTTGGCATGCATCCACTCATTCAGGTTTGTGCTGAGGAGCCGAGAAAGCATCCTGGCATCCAGCGAAGTTCATGGTTGTGGCATGAGGGACATAACTTCTCTATTCCCTCCTTCAGAGAATTAAAATTTCATGCTGTTCCCTTTCAGTCAGTCATGTTCAACGTTATGTCGGCACTGACATTAGGGGTTCCTATGGAGAGTGTGCCAGGACAGATGAACCTCAATCCGTAACCTGACCAATGCCACTTAAGCCAGCTAATCAACCAACTATAAAGAGCTTACTAAGGAAGCCAAAATAATGGTGTTCCGATATACTCACAATATTTGTTTCAGTAATCGTTAGGGTAGGAGTACTGAGCCCGGCAAGAGAATCCTCTGAATGCCACCTGGTGCTGGAGGAACTCGACCAGGTTTCACCAGATGGGGAACTTACTGGAAGAAGATAAGGAGCATGCATTTAGCTAGAGGAATGCCACTGCAAGCGACACACTGAGCCAGTCCTCCTGCAAATTTCCTGTTCATACTTGACACACGTGAGGAAACCGGTTCCACTCAGAGATTAAAGAATCTAGCAAAGGTATTAGGTGTCACCCAGCCCACATCTCTGAAGATGTCTGCAGGAAGAGTGCCTGGGAGGTAACACAAGTGGAGTGAGCTCTCATCCCCAGGGGGCATGGCTCGCCTTATGTCTGGTATGCCAAAGCAATGGCATCCAGGGCCAAGCTCTGTTTGGAGACAGCCTTTCCCTTCTGCTGACCTCTAAAGCAGACAAAAAGCTAGTTAGAGCATCTAAAGCTCTGGGTGTGTTCCACATAAATGCACAAAACATGAACAGGACACAGCAACACAAGGCCTCCTCCAGAGGCAGCACTTGCAGGTTCACCACCTGGTCCCAAAAGGGAGTAGTGGGAAGTTTGGGCACATAACCAGACCGGGGTTTCAGGGTAACATTGTCCTCTCTGATCTTGCACACAGTCTTTGCAAGGAGGCACACTGGGGAAAAGGCATACTTGCACAAACCCTGGGGCCAGCTGTGTGCCAGTGCATCCACGCTGAGGGGGGCCTTGGTCAGGGAGTACAACAGCTGGCAGTGGGAGGACTCCTGGGAAGCAAACAGGTTCACTTGGGCTTCCCCGAATCAACTCCAAATCAGCTGGACCGCTTGTGGATGGAGTCTCCATTCTTCCGGACGGGTAAGCTGTCATGAGAGCGCATCGGCTGCACGATTGAGCTCCCCTGCAACATGAATGGCATGCAGCAATTTGAGCCACATCTGACTACAAAGGAGGAGATGGTGGACGAGTTGTGACATGCAATGAGAGCATATCCCCGCTTGATTATTTAATATTACACAACCGTTGTTGTCCGAGCAGACGAGTACATGCTTGCCTTGCAACTGTGGACGGAACCAGTACTGCAAACAATACTGCCAGCAGCTTGAGGCAACTGATATGCCACTGCAGTCAAGGTCCCATCCAGAAGCCTGAAGCTGCGTGCCCGTTGCATATAGTGACCCAGCCCGTCCTGGAGGCATTTGTTGTTACAATGTACCTCAACACTTGCTCCAGGGGCACACCTGCCCTTAGAAAACCAAGGTCTGACCATAGGCTAAAAAGGCGGTGACAAACGTCTCGGTTACGTATGGTAACCCTCGTTTTAGTTTACACTCGAAGTAGATTGGTCTATCGAAGCGATATCCCAATTCGTCGGTCACCGACGTGACGTCTTTGTTCCCTCCTTCAGGGAACGAGGGTTACCATACGTAACCGAGACGTTCCCTTTCAGTCGGTCACTTTGAGTCACGTCGGTGACTGAAGAATTGGGATCCCTACCAAAGCGCCATGGTGCTGCCGCTTCCAGTGCCCTGTGCGAGCCGCCTGCGCCCCTATCTGGTGTAGGCCGGGGCTCGGGACAAGTAGTTCCACTCACCATTTTTCAAAGCACTACCTTACTAAGTGAGACTGGATAACACTGGGAAAACGTACCCGCTCCACTTGGAACAGGGACGCTGCGGAAGCCCCATCCTTCCCGAAGGAGGTTTCGGAAGCAAATACACATATAGCATCCGTTTAGGTGTATTCGAGCCGCCTGCGCCCCTATCTGGTGTAGGCCGGGGCTCGGGACAAGTAGTTCCACTCACCATTTTTCAAAGCACTACCTTACTGAGTGAGATTGGATAACACTGGGAAAACGTACCTGCTCCACTTGGAACAGGGACGCTGCAAAAGCCCCATCCTTCAAGCAAATTAACATATAGCATCCGTTTAGGTGTATATGGAGAAACTGGAGGTGATTATAACCCTCTTGGACAGGCAGAAGTCTGCCGGGGAACACGGGCTCTAAGGCTATACCGTGGATTATACACATACGAAACCCGCTTAGGTCTCAATATGGAACCCGGCCTTCCACGGTTCACGCGGATTCATCGTGAAGGCCCGGCGCCAGACATTCCGCCGCGTCCGCTGCCGAGGGTGATGGAGGATCTCAACAGGGTCTACTGTACGGACACTCTGGAGCAGTTTTTAGCAAGCCAACACTAACCGGGGCCTCTCGGTGCCACTACCAGTTTGCGGTGAGAACACAGGAGGGTACCGGCTCCACACGGAGGCTATAGAATCTAGCGAATGTGTTGGGCGAGGAGGTGGCGGGCGAGTTGCGTCATGTGACGGGAGCGCTGACCACCTTGTCGGTTGATGTACACAATGGTCGCTGTGTTGTCCGTTCGGACCAGTACGTGCTTGCCTCGTAAGCGCCCTTTGAGACGGTTCAAGGCCAGGCGCACTGCCAACAACTCTAGGCAATTGATGTGCCAGTGCAGCTGCAAGCCCGTCCAAACCCCTGAGTCTGCATGCCCGTTTTACGTGGCACCCCACCCGGTGGTGGAGGCATCCGTGTAGACTACGGCATGCCTGGAGATCTGCTCTAGGGGCACCCCTGCCCGGAGGAACGCAAGATCTGACCACGGGGTGAAGGTTTGGCGACAGGCCGGTGTGACTTGGACCTGGTGAGTGCCGCACTTCCACGCCTACCTCGGGACTCGGCCATAAAGCCAGTGCTGGAGCGGTCTCATATGTAACAGGCCGAGCGGTGTAAGTGCCCCTGCGACCGCCATATGCCCCAGGAGCCTCTGAAAAAGTATCAGTGGGACCGCTGTCCTGCCCTTGAACGTATTCAAGCAGGCTAGCACCGACCGCGCACGTTCCTCTGTGAGGCGCGCTGTCTGTTTGGCCGAATCCAACTCCATACCGAGAAAAGAGATCCTCTGCGTCGAGGAGAGTTTGCTCTTTTCCCAGTTGACCTGAAGGCCCAACAGGCTGAGGTGCCGGAGCGCCAGGTCCATGTGCTCGCACAACTGATCCTGAGACTGTGCTAGTATAAGCCAATCATCTAGATAGTTGAGGACACGAACACCCTGCTCTCTGAGGGGAACAAGAAGCCGCCTCCGCGACTTCTGTGAAGACACGGGGAGACAGGGACAGCCCGAAGGGCAGGACCTTGTACTGATATACCCGTCCTTCGAACGCAAACCGCAGAAATGGTCTGTGGCGTGGAAGGATCGACACATGAAAAGTACGCATCCTTCAGGTCGATCGCTGCAAACCAATCTCGGGGACGGACGCACCCGAAGATGCGTTTCTGCGTCAACATCTTGAACGGTAGCCGATGAAGGGCCCGGTTCAAAACTCGCAGGTCCAAGATTGGCCGTAACCCACCGCCTTTCTTGGGTACAATGAAGTAAGGGCTGTAAAACCCCGACCTCATATCGGCTGGAGGGACCGGCTCTATCGCATCCTTCGCCAGTAGGACTGCGATCTCTGCCCATAGAACAGGGGCATCGGCCGCCTTCACTGTAGTGAAGCGGATACCGCTGAACTTGGGCAGGCGCCGGGCGAACTGAATCGCATAGCCGAGGCTGATGGTTCGCAGAAGCCAGCGAGACGGGCTGGGTAGCGCTGACCAAGCGCCCAGAAACCGTACAAGCGGGACCAGCGGGACCACAGCCGTACCCGCAGTGGGGCAGCGAGGTGAAACACAGGGACCCAACTCGGGCGGCTTGTGAGCGGGCCGGAGAGGGGTGTGAGTGTGGGGTGCAAGGCTCACCTGGTTCCACGGGTTGGCAGAGGGTGCGTGAGTAGGGCCTTTGTTGACTGTGATCAGCGGCAGCTGGATGCAATAATTGCATGTTAATGTGCATTGGCTCGTTTAGTTTACACTCGAAGTAGATTGGTCTATCGAAGCGATATCCAAATTCGTCGGTCACCGACGTGACTCAGAGTGACCAACTGAAAGGGAACCAGGGTAACGCCCACCAGGTGTGTGCTGTGGCACTATGCCCATCTCGGGACTCAGTTGTACAGTCAGTGCTGAAACATTCTCATATGTAACAATCCGTGCATCTGCGTATTCCATATGCCCCAGGAGCCTCTTAAAACTTTTTTAGAGGAACCGCTGTTTTTCCCCTGAACAAATTCAGGCAGTTCAGCACTGATTGGGCATGCTCGTTTATGAGACATGCTGTCATGATTACTGAGTCTAGCTCCATACTGAGAAAAGAGATGCTCTGCACAGGGGAGAGCTTGCTCTTTTCCCAGTTGACCCTAAGCCCCAACTGGCTGAGATGCTCCCAGTGTTCGCACAACAGATCTCGTGAGTGAGCTAATATAAGCCAGTCGTCAAGATATCTGAGGACTCAGATGCCCTTCCTCCATTGTGGAGACAACTTATGCAAAGGCACAGGGAGACAGGGACAGCACGAAGGGGAGGACCTTGTATCGATACGCTCGACCCTTGAAAGCAAACTGAAGAAACAAAAAACCATGAAAGTATGCATCCTTCAGGTTGATTGCTGCAAACCAATCCTGGTGCTGAACTCATGCAAGAATGTTCTGTTTTCTGGGAGTTTGCATTGAGATGGACTTGACCTGGGGCAGGAACACCACTGAACTGGTGAAGAAAGCACAGCAGAGACTCTACTTTCTGAGGGTTCCCAGAAAGAATAGTATTGCTCAGAGTCTGCTTGTATCCTTCTATCACTCTACTATTGAGAGTATTCTTACTTACTGCCTTTGTGTGTGGTTTTCCAGCTGCACCATGGCGTATAAAAAAGAGCTTCAGAGGGTCATCAGGACTGCAGAGAAAATCATTGGGTGCCCTCTCACAACTTTGGAGGACCTTCACAGTTCCTGCTGACTCAAGAGAGCTCACAGTATTATAAAGGACTCATCACACTTAGGTCACTCTTTGTACCGTCTGCCTGATGGTAACAGAGTGAACAGAGCCATTAAAACAAGGACAAATAGATTCAAACAGTTTTTAATCCAATAGCTGTACAAGCTTTAAATGCCTCAGAACAAATGTGAAGTAAGGGATTTGTGTATTTAGTATTTGCACTTGTGTTTTTTACAGAATTTGTGCAATTTTGAATGTAAACGGGTATGTACATTTTTTTTGGAGTGAGAGACTGAAAGTGATTTTCGTTTGGACTGTTGGACAAATGAAAATAAAGGTATTTGTTCGTTCGTTCTGCATCAACATCTTGAATGGAAGCCTGTGAAGGGCCGATTCAACACTCACAGATCCAGGATTGGTCGTAACCCACCGCTCTTCTTGGGTACAATGAAATGAGGGCTGTAAAACCCTGACTACATCCCGGCTGGAGGGACAGGCTCTATTGCATCCTTAGCCAAGAGGACTGCGATCTCTGCACGCTGTGATAGACACCTTATCCTCCTCAGAAGCCCCGAATGAACCACTGGGTCCTTCATGGGACAGACTGGCATCTTCGTCCAGGAGCTCAACGGTACTAAGCAGGACTTCTGTGAGGGCTGGCAAAGCGGAACCAGACTGGGTTTAATTCAAGAGGAGCCTCATAATAAATGAGAGCCGCACACTCATCATTTCCATGGACATGTGCTCACAGTGCGGACATGACCAATCCACAAAAGCCATCTCAGCATGCTTATGGCCCAGACATGTAAGACAGCAATCGTGCCAGTCATCAGAAGTAAGGAATCTACCGCACCCAGAAGTACACGGTCGGAAAGATACCTCGAAAGACAAGACGAAGAAACTGCTATTTAGGCTGGAGTGCCCAAGGGGTGTAACACAGCACTTATCTGTGCTATCACAGGGGTGAACACACTGCTGATCATGCCATCTAGAGACACAGCTGAGAAGTTCCTGCAGACTGGTGTTCTTTGTTTTTTCTTGTAGTTCGTTTCTGGAAGAAAAGACGCTCATGAAGCAATCAGCTCTGGAGCAAAAATGGCACGCCGCCATCTTATATACCCGTATGTACTGGGAGTGGCTTGACATGTAAATTCCACTCGCCAACAGTCATTGGCCATTGCATGTAGTGCTCAGAGGTGATTGGGGCTCCTAAGTGAGACCTCTAATTTCAGTGTTGACAATGTCGAAAGTGACTGACTGAAAGGGGAACCATGGTTCAATATGTAAACAAGTATGGTTCATGGCTCAATATGTAAACAATGTGCAAATGAAACAAATTATTATTCAGAAAAACGGTTATTATTCAGAAATATAATAAATATTATTCAGAAATATTATTTGTATCCATTATGGGAAAGCATATTATTATCTGACAAATATTTTGTGCAATATATTTTATAGTTTGCTTGAAACAGCTTGCAAGTCCCTTAAAGGGGTCCTATTATGCTCTTTTACAAAGTCTTGATTTTGTTTTGGGGGTGTACTAGAACAGGCTCTCATACTAGGTTGTTCGAAAAACACATTATTTTTTACATATTTTACATTATTACAACACCTTTCTCCCCAGTCTGGCATGAACGGCTCGAATAGTTCCTGTATCAAATGAAGGCCCGCCTTCTGAAATACGAAATGTGCTGTGATTGGTTAGCTGGGCCAGTGTGTGTTGTGATTGGTTAGCTGGGCCAGTGTGTGTTGTGATTGGTTATCTGGGCCAGTGTGTGCTGTGATTGGCAGCACTGGTCGGGAAATGTCATGCCCCTTACCATAGCCGCATACGAGCTTCAGTGTAAATATTGCGTCAATATCAAATAATTTTGAGCGCGATTTAAACCCGGATGATTGTAACCACTCTAAGTTCGTCTGCCTTGGGAAAGCTAGCGTATCTCCGACATAGTGATAACACTTGTTGCCTTCTCTAGTGCAGCTCAACCAGCTCTCGTCCAAATTCGTTGATATTTGTGATATCACAAATCCCGGAAAATATGCGTTGTATTCCGTTCGTTGTAGTTTTTGAAAAGTGATTTCTGTTCAATAAAATATCTCCATTTGAATTGGACTTTGAACTTTGCAGATCTTTTTTATGCTCAAACTGCAACATTACAGACTAACAGTGAAAAAGCATAATAGGACCCCTTTAAATAAAATATTTAGATTTTTGTCATTTAATTTTCTTTCAAATATAATATGGAAGAGAGTAAATGTCTCTTTGGTGGGGGGAGGAAATAGTTTTCTCTGCCTTGACCCAACTATAAATAGAACAAAACCTGCCAACAATGCAACGCTGCAGCCAAAGCCTTGTCAAAAGCTGAATTAACATTTATCCAAACAAGAGCAATATTTCTGCTCAAAGAGAACGAAGCAATGTGCAAATGTGAATGTAGAACCAGTTCAAAAGCTAAACCAGACATCACCAAGTACCACAGAGGTGAATGTATTAAAATCTTTTTTTTTGTAGAAGTATGAATGGCACGTAGTGTAAAGACTTAAAATTTGCAATGAATGAGTCTCAAACTCAGCTAACTAGTGATTAAAAATAAATGCATCAAATACTTAAAAGATTTATGGAACACCTAAAGTCCTAGACAGAGTAGTGTATACTTGCCTTACAGATAGGAAAACATCTCTATAGAGAGCGAAATGTCTACTTTCAAATAAACCAATTCAAATAGAAAACAAATATTCTCAGATTATGTAATCCGTATGAAACATGCATACAGGCGCATCCACTGCTGTGGAGACGAGTCAGTGTCGCCGACTTCATCTCTTAAACCGAGAACAAAGAAAGCACTATAGTGTATCAATAAATTATTACAATATTAATGCAGCCTCCTTACTGTTTTTCACTGACACATTCATAATCATTTCTGCGGTGCGCTGTGGCAAGCTTTATACGTGTGCTTGAGCGCTTATATGCTATGTAGGCAATTAAAGGCTCATTATAACGATTTAAATGGTTTATTAATAAATGTGCGATTAGTCGACTAATGCTTAAAATGAACGACTACTAGTTGACCAGAAAAATCTTTAGTCGAGGGCAGCCCTACCATGTTCATTCATTGAGGCCAGAGAAGAAATGGTCCTGTTACTAAACCTGGTTTCTTGCAAGGTTTTTTTTCTCCATTTCTGACACTTAATGGAGTTTGGGTTCCTTGCCACTGTCACATTTGGCTTGCTTAGTTGGGGTTTAAAAGACACTTCATATTCAGTAATATTTTCAATTTGACTGCACTGACACCATCGGACGAGAACAAAATGTGAACTGAATTGAGCAACAGGATATTGTTAAGGTCAAGGTCAGGGCCAGGCAGCAGTACATTATTGAGAGATACGCCATCAAACTGCACTAGAGTTAGTTATAACTCTGATTTGCTCTGTATTTTTGGGATGGTACACACCAAATGATGGAAAATACCAGCATTCTTGGCTATCCTGTAGAGGAGGTGGTAGCTCTGCTTGGTAATTTTCAAGTATCTTCTGTATGAACTCTCTAAGAAGTTCTCTAGATGTTTCTCAAACTTGTTTCTCAGCGTCCGTGGTATGAACATGATCGCTGCGAGACGCTGGTGGAGTGAACGAGGCTTGAGAGAGAGTGAATGAATGGAAAAGTGGTGAAAGAGAAAAAGAAAAAAAAATCTCCCAAGTGAATGCGGACTTACAGTTAGGAACAACATTAAAAGCCGCCAGTGCTCCAGTGAGACTAAAATAAAGGACTCGGATGATGGTGTGTGTGTGTGTGAGCAATTTGGCCAGCATGATAGAAGGATGTTAAAACTGGACTACTCTTTGCACCATCAATAGCTGTAGTGATTTGGAGTTAGTGTACTGGTAAAAGTATTGATGCAGTTTCACACATTTCTCCATTAAATCAGCTTTTCATTCCAACAGTATTTTAATTTTATCACCATCTCGGATACACCTAAATATTTATCTTGCTCTGGCTTCAGATTCACCCTGAAGTCAAATTGGGCTCTGTATGTTACATGAAGAATTTACAGATCTGTCTGTACTGCAGTGGTGATTGTGCAGTAAAACTTGGACATTTTATCATTCTGTGATAACTAGATACAGTACTTGGATTTCTCTGGTCAAAGTTTTTTTTATTTCGTGAGTTGTCGGTGAATGAATTACTGGCGTGCGTGTGTGCAACTGTAGCGCCAATCCCCATGCAACATGCTGTGACAAATCTTTAGCGTTCTTCTATGGACTTTTTTAGCTCAAATCTCACTCAATTCTATACAACACCTTGTTGCCAATGGGCTGTATTTTTATACATCAAATTGTTCTTGCATTTCGCCACTGGAGCCGCGAAATATTTAATCAGTTTTGAGCTCTGCTCTGTTTAACAGTTAAACAATTAACCTTCAGATACCTAGATCCCAGTGGAAATAACTGATGACAAAGCAAATGAGGGAGGTGAGGACAAGGGTTAGGTTTGCTAGTCTGAATTGTGATTTAAAAACTGCGTCTA